ATATAAATGCATTGAATTAACAAATCACCTTTAATTACACACAATATTCTAAACACAAATTTAAATAAGAAATAACAAGTTTGTGCTACAAAACACAAATTTAGAGAAATCATATATTCATAGGGGTGATCGGTTCGCGGGGGGGGGGGGGGGGGGGGGATCCAAACCGAACTGATTTTTCGGTTTCACAACTTCCTTAACCCGCAACCAAACTGCATATTACTGAAACCTGGTTTTTCGGAAACCGACCTTTCGGGTCGGTTTTTCGGTTTGTTGAAAAACCGATTGAAATTTCATAAAACTTCTCTAAGGCGTATATTGAAGCAACATGGACCACATATTCCAACTATCCACTAAAGGGGTGAATTTATAGGGACGAATGAGGAGTAACTCCTACAATGCAACCGGTGTGGGAACTTTTACCGTAGTACCCACTACTACCCGCGCATAGGCCTCTACTCTGCACCACCAAACAACATCTGCAAGTTGTAAAATGTTGGACTTAGACTTATTTTATAACTTTCCTATGCTGCGGAATTAATAATAAATATTGATTAATAAAATTCGGTTCGGTTTGAACCGATTTTAAACTCAAAAAACTGTCTTTAAACTGATTCATGTTCGGGTCCTGACTTTCGACTCCCATTCAAGTTGGTTCGGTTTTTTTTATTGCTCGAATGGGTTTTTTCTGTTCGGTTTTCGGTTTTTCGATTTGAAATGCCAGCCCTATAAAATAAGTCTAAGTCGACCATATTTTTTTAGAGCTTTGTTGTGTTTCCTTCTATATGATTTTGCCTGAGTGTAACTTCTACCTACAGATTTTTGACATTCGTAAAGTTAGTACACCATCACATATTTCGTTTTTTCTTCCTTTAATATCTCTTCTTTCCTTCTGTATGATTTTGTCTGGGGAACCTTCTACCTACACATTTTTTTAGAGCTTTGTTGTGTTTCATGACCTTTTTTAATGTGCTTCTTGTCCTTATAAGAGAATTAAAGTGGTCACTTGTTTTTCTAGTATGGCCAAGTGTTTATCACAATAGTGTCAATATATCCTACTTGTTTTCGTGATATACATAATTACATATATATATCCTCTTAAAACGTACTAACGTCCTTTTCTGTCTTTTTATCTATTAACCGTTAAAACCAAACAACTAAGTTACCAAACATCTTTATGTGACCCACCAAACAAATTTGTTGGTCAAATTCGTTGACTCAATCCGCTGTTTGGAATCCACTGGCTCAATCCGCTAACAGCTAAACGCTATACGCTCATTCCCAAACAAGCCCATTATGTGTGTTTTATTGATGATTTTTCTCGCTTTACATGGTTATATCACATACGCACTAAATCTGAGGTTTTTGGCCATTTTCGCACCTTTAAAGTTTTAGTTGAAAATCTTTTTAATTCAAAAATATAAGTTTTTCAAAGTGAAAGAGGGGGTGAATTTGTTAACTTCAATATGCAACAGTTTTTTTCTAAGCATAAGATTTATTTTCAAAAATCTTATCCTCATACTCTCCAACAAAATGGGGTTGCTAAACGCAAACATCATCATCTCCTGGCACTAGCTCGGACTATGTTAATTACAACTTCTATTCCTAGCTATTTCTAGGTTGATGCTATTTTTACAGGTGTGTATATTGTTAATAGACTTCCCTCTCCCCTGTTAAATGGTCATTCTCCTTATGAAAAACTTTTTCAAAAATCCCTTGACTACTCATTTTTACGTGTTTTTTTGTGTGCCTGCTATCTCAATTTTAGTGCTACTTCCTTTAATCAACTCTCTCCCCTCTCTATTCAGTGTGTTTTTCTTGGCTATGCATCTTGTTATAAAGGTTATCAATGTCTTAAACCTAAATCCGGTTTGATCTTTATCAGTTGTCATGTTCATTTTCTTGAAAACATTTTTTCTTTTGCCACAATGGTTTCTTCTGTGGATGCCACCGATCCTCCTCCATCTTCCTCAGACCTGTTTCTCACCAATACCTATTGCCCCGCAACCTTTCCCACACCCCTTCTTGTTGTGCTCGAGCCATTATCCCACTTACCCGAGCCCTCCTCCGCTGCCTCAATCGCGGAAACCACCGTGCGAAGCTGTTAAAGTCCCACACTGGATATCTCTGAAAGAATTAAACACTATATTATGATATGAGTTACTCCTCCTATTAGGTTGACCTTTTAGGATGGATCTCTGGGTCTTAACAGAAGCCCTGCTTTGTTGGCTGGTATTTTGGCACAACCGTCGCCCACTCTCGACACCCAGCCCTCCTCACCGCCGCAACAACCCCCAGTCCCCCCTCCTCGCCACCCGAGACATCTCAACCGCCACAACTAGTGTAACCAGTCCCAATTCTTAGTCCACAATAGCCTCTAAATCTGTTCTATCCTCGACCCGTGCCCCATCTCTTTCTAATGTTCATCCCATGCAAACTCTGGCAAAATCGGGAATTTTTTAAATTCAAATCAATTTTTAATTTAAATACAGTTGTTACTAATTCAGCTAATCCTACTTGTTTTTCAGAGGCTAATAAACAATTAAAATGGCGTGAGACAATGGCTGATGAATTTAATGCTCTTACTACTAATCATACTTGGGATTTGTTACCATTCGATAAATCTAAAAATATTGTGGGCTCGAAGTGGATTTATAAGATAAAATTCCATTCTGATAGGCCTATTAAGCGCTATAATGCACGTTTGGTTGCTCAAGGATTTAATCAGAAGTAAACATTGTCTACTCTTTTTGGTTTTTGATTTCATTTTCCATTGACACAATTAAGGGTAGCCAATGGAACATAACACAGTAAGTGTCCTACTCAATACTTCTTTCTTGACTAACATGACTTTATTTTAATAGTAAATATATGGTTTTTGTTATTTTCGTCTCTTTTTCAATAGGAGCTAGGATGTTTGGCCTAAACTTTAACATAGTTTTAAGCTTTTGACTAACATGACTTATTATTAATGCAAAGTGGTCTATTATTTTATCTTTATCAGCAATCATGTTTGAATACTTCATGCCTTCATGTCAGCTAGTACTCTTTAATTAGTTCAGGAATTGACATACAAAACTTATTTCAACTAACATTAAAAGTGTATTCTCCCATAACAAACTGAAAGTTCTTATATGGATACTGGAAGGAAGGTGTAAGTGATTCATATATACTGTATATATTTTTGGTTATATGCCCGTTCAGTATGAAGGTCATACACAAGGTGCCAAAAATGGTGAACACACGGAGTTTGAAACCAACACAGACCACAGTTATACATGTCTGAAATCACTATGTGAAAAGAGAGTCGGCATACAAAGAAGTAAATAACTAAACAGAAAGATTCAAGCAAAGGTGTTGTTCTTTTCACCAAGGACATACATTTAGACTGCCCAATATATTATTACTTTGTATATGTGAAAGAAAGGTAGTTTTGAACTTTTGATTTATTTGTGTAGCATTTTATTCCAATTACCATTGATTGCATTTGCATATACTGTTGTACAAAAACTATATACCACAATAACATCGAAGAGATTACCAAGATGTTAAAATAAAAATGCATTGTAATTGTAATTAATTTTTGAAAAGAATAATAGAAAATATAATTTAAAATGTTAATAAGCTTTAACGGACCATATTTAATTTTCATAAGCTAAGTATGTCAATTGTGTTTGTCATTACTCCGTATATCTTTTTTGAGGCTGCAAGAGTAACTTAACGTGTGTATGTTTCTGGCCTAAGATTTAAGGAGTTATAGAAGGATTCTGGAAATAATGGAACTCTCTGTTTTTTTTTTAAATCAAAATTCTATTGATGGCCTGAAAGTAATAAAAAGCCTCTAAAGGACGAAAACTATAGACCTTTAAAACCAAACCTCTCAATATGTATATATTGATATTAGAACTTTTCAGGATTCAATTCTCATTTTCCCGTTTTAAGAGTTGTAAGATGGACACTATATGCCCGGGAAAGTTACAAGCTAGGGCATTTATAGAAGACATTATTATGTAAGCTAAAAAAACTCAAATTGATAAGGTGAAGTATAAAAAGTAACATGTTTTTCTCATGTAAACATTTTATCATACACCTTATGTGTTTTACCTTACATGCTCTTTTTTTAACAAAGAAGGCTTGTATTATAATGATGGAAACTATAAGAGCTTAAAAAAGACAAGCCCTCCCATTTTGGTCACCAACCCTAGAATTAGACATAGAACTATATGTGTTAGAAATACAACAATTCGCTAATACTCAATGGGCAACTTGAAGCCTATTGTAACAAAAAGGAAAGATTGCCCCACAAAACACCCACAAACCAGATGCTCCAACTAGTAGTTCAAATAAAAAACAACCAATAATCGTGGCTAAGTAGTCGAAAACCGACAAAATAGAAAACAAAACTAGAATGAAAATAAAATTGAAACTAGAAGAAATAAAAATTGGGAGCTTTTACCCGAGTTTTTTTCGAATTAATGCTAATTAATTAATTAATTAATTACGAAAATAATGTTGGGTTAAAAGTATTTACCGATCTACTGTTGGGTTTAACTATGGTCGGGGAAAGTCGCCAAATGGTTGGGCGACTTATAAGTCGCCATCCGGTTTGGTGACTTATAAGTCGCCCAACCATTTGGCGACTTTTCCCCTGCATTTGCAAAAATCAGTAAACTCAAACCAGACACACACCATTACAAAACATACAACACACCTTCACACAAAACATACAAAACGCCTGCTCTCAACAACATGCAAAACACCACATACATACTGATATAAATAAGATACAAAACAGAAGATTCATAACCAGTACAACACAGTACAATCATCCAATATTCATAACACGGTACGGTCATCTAATATTCAAAACCGAACACATCAACACATCATAAAAGAGTTTGCAGGTGGAAATACGTTAAATAAAGTGAATTGTTCTTACAACATCCAGTGTACAAGAAAAACTCCAATACAAAAGACAAACTACAAGTTCTCATGGTCTTCTTGATCATCTTGGTCATGGAGATGTTGTTGTTGCTGCCTACACCGACGCCAATGTCGTGGTTGAAGAACCACTCTCCCATGCTGAGTCTGGGATGATGAAGTCATCGTTGCACTAGATGTCGATGGCATATCCTGAGATGGGGGCATATGTATAAGATGGCCGTAGTCGACTCGCCCCAACACATCTGAACACAAGGAGGCAATGCCCGTCATAGCCTGTCCGTACATTTCGACGTCATGCGTATCACTCACTGTGGCAATAGCCCGCTGATGTATACGTTGCAAAGCTCGTGTCTGAAATATGAAACCGAATTATAATTAGTTAGAAATAAATAAAAGTGTTAAATAAACTAAATGACTTACTTTAGTAATTAGTAATATACTCACCGTCAAATGCAAAGCCAAGGAGCTAGGCTGATAATGGTGAGTATGGAGTCTGAACGAAGGAGACACAAACAAGCGAGTGATGCTGTAATACCATCCCATGTAGTCTCCCGAAACAGATGGGACTAATGTTGGTGTCCCAGTCACAACAAGCTCAGCTCGCCTCTCCCACATATTGACGTATCGGACATGTCTGAGTTTCCAATCCTCTGTACGCTTCACATGCCTATCCAGCCTATGAAGCTCTACATATGTGTCGATAGGTGCTGGAATGACCTGCTCATACCCAAAATGTCGCAATACATGATCAGGCAAATGAAGCTCAACAATGTCAAAACATATCAACGACACACGAGCTCGCCATATGTGAAAATGCTCTTGTCTAGCCGGGGGCAACTCTGCAAACATCTCAGCTGTATACGACATCCATGTAATTTGTTTCATAAAGATACAAAATTAGTATTTATGCTATACATATTATAGTTAATATTATATTACGCACACCATACCTGATCCTCAGACATCCGATCAAATGCATCCCTGTAGACACCGAGCCCAGAAGCCGATGATGTGCGACATAGATCATCAAGTAGCCATCTAACCATTCATGTAGCATATATTAATATGAATATTATTAATACATTTATATTCAGCATACAATAACATAAATACAAACGATTGAAAACATACCGACGGCCCAGAGGGTCCTCGCCCCGTACATGATGTGGTCCCAGGAGACGTGGAGGCTCATCAGGCAGTGGGTGTCCATCAAGGCCATGGTAAGCCACTCTAATGGGACACCCAATGTGGATGTACTCCCATGACCAAATCTGGAGTAGAAGCAAAAATCCTCCAAGCTCTGTGCTCCCACTCTAGCACCCGTGACATAGATATAAGCCAGTGTGGCACTACCCCAACTGAACTGTGCAGCTACATCAAACCTCTCTAGCATAGGCAAGTGCAGCACCTGAACCTCATTTCCGCTCTTGTCAGCGAAAATGGAAGCCCCGTCATCATCAGAATGTAAGCCCGTGCATCCTGCTGGGTCATCACCTCATCAGCGTCCGGAGGAAGCTCAGCGAAATGCTCCCTCAGCCAAGGCATCCTCAGATATGACCCCTGAATGTCAGTCTGAAGAAGGGGGCGAACACCCAACAAGCGCTCACACTCCTCAACCCACTGTCGACAAGCAGTACCAGTAACTGCTCTCCCATCGACCTCTAACCCAGTCAGTACAGCTACATCTCCCAAGGTCACTATCACCTCACTGACAGGGAGGTGAAATGTGTGTGTCTCCTGCCTCCAACGCTCAAGAAGAGCAGTGAGTAGCGCTTTATCGAGAGGGACAGTAGCCACCAATCTATGCAGACCATAAAAACCCGCAGCACGAACATATGCAAGTACTCTGTCGTCCACCTGCACATGCGACAAACCACGGAGGTGCTCGCGGCACCTATCCACCGGAACATCGAGGCCATGCCACACATCCTCACTCCTGTGCGTGGCCTGCAATGTCAGGTCAGAATGATCACTCGGCCCTGGATCCGCTGACACCTCCATGCCTATAAACAAAATATATTAGTTAATTTTTACTATTTAATTAATTAATTTTTTTTAATTAATATTATATTAATTAACTTTTTCATTCCACGTTAGTATCAACTGTGGAGTATTACAATTAAAACCTTACCCAGTGGACCCCCCTCCATCTCTTGATGATCTCTTCGCACACGTGGCCCTATTATGGCCGCTTTGTTTACAATTTCCACATCTAACCGTTTCTCGGGGACCTTCATCCATCTCATTCTTAATATGTGTGGACTTCCCTTAGCCCGAAGCATGGATGGATCGTGCACAATTTCAGGTCCATTGTAAGTCGGCCAATAATCACGGTCAGGAATGAGTTTAAAGACTCTTTGATATGTAGCGGCGTATTGGGCAGATGAGAAAAAAGGATCCACAAATGGATGAGAAGACAAACTACGTTGTCAGCACACGGCTAATACATGGGAACATGGAATCTTATATATTTCCATCTTTTTACAAGTGCAAGTACGCCGCTGCAGATGGACAATTTGTTTTCTCCCACTCTTTCCCAACGTTCGGGCACCACATCCTGTTTCCACTTGGTATATCCCTCGGCCTATATCAAATGGAGTAACAGTGTGATGCTTGGCCTTCTCATGAAATGGGGCAATTCATAAGATGACTTCTCCCAACCGCGAAATATTTCTACAATGGCCTTTTGCTTGCCCATCCATGTTCTCCTGTATGATACTGTATACCCATACTTTTCCTTCAGCATCTCAATGATAGTATGCACTTTAAGGGAAGGATCAGTGCGAAGAATGTCAATCACATCTTTAGCAATGAAATCTGAAGCCATCGCCACGTGATCAGTACTGTCGGTGTTGCCAACACAGGTAGCAGAATGAGGTCCAGGATAACGCACAACAGTAAAGCTGTCGAGGTTGCCTTTGTTCTTTGTGGCGCGTATTCTCCAGGGGCAATCACGTTCCTTCTTCCTCTTGCACTCTGCAACCCATTTGTGTTTATCAGACTCCAGCACCCGATAAAATTGGTTCCGTTTAATAGAATACAAGCTCACCATATTGATGACTTGTTCTTTGTTGTCAAACTATTGACCAACCTCAAACTCACCTTCGGGTGTAAACCTTTTCATACCTGCTCCACTCATCCACGTATCAGAAAGCCTTCAGGGAGATCATATATTCTAGTAAAGTGACTAGACGGGGCAGTTTCCGTGACAGTATCACCATCATCTTCATCAGATTTTGTCATGTCATCACCATTGATGTTCTCGTCAGCATCATCATCACTTCCCTGTCCATCCACAAATGATGCACCATTGTGTAAATATCTACCCTCTTCCTCTATAATCATGTCCAGTACAGTAGCATTTGAGGAGTTCCCTGCATCGACACCATGCCTAGATACAACAACATTTGATGTTGATGGAGTACCATAAGCGTCACATATGGATTCCTCAATGTATATCTCCAGCGTGGACATACCCTGCATCTGAATTATGCACCAAATATTTGATACAGCTAGCTCATCAACAAGGGGCATAAGCATGTAATTTCTCCCGTTCGTGGGAAATTTCATTTTCAACCGCAAAGAACGGCTCGGAGGAATCATTGTACCTACATGGATTTTTTGCAGCATCTCGAGCAAGCATGCGCCACGAGAAACAATGACAAAGCCGCTTCTACCACCTTCATGGCGTATTTGGCCACCTTCCTCATATATGTTCCCTCCCCAATGACAGATGATTGGGAAGTTGGAGAAATCCATATTCTAATAAGAATACATGTCCAAGTTTCATGAGTACACATTAATATACACACTTTATACACCCAAATTCATCATTTCATATTTAATAACATTAAAATGAATTAATTAAGAACATTAAAAAATCAAATATTCCCAATTGAACATATCATATTTCAAACCATTTATATGATATAATTAAAAATCACTTCAAAATCAAATGTTATACACTTTAACATTTATATGCAAAATTTCCCCAATTCAAAATTTCATATAACAAGCCTTATTATACTTAACACAATGAAAACATTACATGAATATCCACATCAAAATTCAACATTTCATACATACCCACATTACACAACAAATCAATTCACAAATCAATTCATAGTTTTCAAATTCAAAATATAGACATTATAAACCCTAAGTTGAAAAATTAGATGAAATTGGGGATTTTATTTACCTAGAGGTTGAAGAGGATGGTTGGGGAGTTTCCTTGGCAGGTGGAGTGGCCTCCTACTCGCTGCAGTTGCCGGAATCGGGGTGCGTTCTGCTGGATCGCCGGAGGTTTTTTTTGGTTGCTGCTGAGTTCGATCTGTCTGTTTTAGCAGACCCGTCTGATATTTTAAAGGCAAAGTCGCCAAACAGTTTGGCGACTTTGCCTAACCCGGATTAGGCCCAACAGTATATCCGTAAATACTTTTAACCCAACAGCAAAAACGTAATTATTTATTTAATCCGCATTAATTCGAAAAAAAACTCCTTTTACCCTCCCTCTTCAACGTTTCAGCAAGCATGTTGCCCAGATCACGCCCTTGCTCCATTTTTCCATCATTTGTCTCTACCTCCATAATTGTGTGTGCCGCTCCTACCAGCTCTACTCTTTGTTGCTTCTGCTCAGCTACTAGAACTCCTTCCCCCCTAAGAGGCCTAAGCTGCATAAACATCATCACCAGAGCTCACAACCATTATTCCCCTTTCCATAGTGGAACCCTTAAAAACCCCATTACTATTAACCTTGTTTATTAGATTTCTCCACCACAAGTCATTTATTTCCTTCACCTTTATTATTAAAGCCACTACCTGCCCGCATTCACCGGCCAAATTCCTTCATTTGTGATGAACTTGGAAGACCCTGAGGACAAAACCTATCACCATGACCAATAAGTCCCCAAGCCAAACAGAAGTTGGGGAGTTTTTCGTATTTCAAGTTAACCCGTAGACAATCCCCATTTGATTTGTGAACCTTTAAGTCTTTCCTAACGGTTGCCTTATATGAAAACAAATCCTGACCCTCAAAATCATCATGATTTTTAACTCATGCAGCACAACAAGATTTTGATCATAAAGCCACGCACCATACTCTAAAACACGTCTCATATGAATCTCATGATAAAAAGAAAAGATATATCTTTTATAACCAATATCCTTAATCAAGGCCATGGTGTCCCTAAACGGCAAGAATTTGATCACCTTTTCGGACCGAACAATTCCCAATAAGGACCACACGGTCAGCCCTCCTTCCCGCTACTCGTGTTCATTAATGTCAAGCAACAATAGATCCACTGCATTGCCATCCTCCTCCTCTAGCTGCGACCTTCCATTGTGATCAACCAATCCATGTTGATCATCCATACTGCCTATAGCCAAAATGAACAAAGAAAAAACGCACAAAGAAAATATTGAATTACCTTCGATCGAGCACTTTCCGTCGAAGAAGCAAAGCAGTAAACACAGCGCTACCCTTCGACTACAAATCTGACACCAGAAGCATGGTTGAACTGTCAATAAATCTTAAATACTCCACACAAATCCATAATGGCTTTCATGAAGAGATTTGTGTTCCTCAATTAATTCAACTTATAATGGTAAACATAATTTAAAATGCATAGAAAGATGATGGAATGAGAAGAAAGGAGGTTGTGTACCTATATGCAATGATAGAGAGGCAATATCATAAAGCCTTACCTCTATTGCAATGATATACTCCATGTAGCAAAGCGTAAATGCAGTACTACGTGTTTTTACGTCTATCAACCGCGCGGTAATCTCGTGGATGGAGAGCAGAGACGTGCCGTACATGATAGCTTTATCTCCAAAATGTTTTGATTTTTCGAAGAAGAGAAACACAAATCTTGGCTCCTATTATCGGTACATAAGCATGAAAGCGGAATTTTGGGTAGCAGTTCTCTCTCTCTCTCTCTCCCTTTGATATCAGGAGAAACATCGTGAATTAAGGTGAGCAACACATGTTGGAATGGAGTTCATATTTGTACTTTAAACAAACTATTCTTTTCTTATATATATACATATATAGATGAATATAATGACATTGGCTGGGTTACATTGTCTAATACATGGGCGGGAAGCAACTCTATGACAGACCATTTTCCAAATTCGCTCCTTATTTGGTAGCTTTTTGGATGGCAAAACTGATTGCACTATGTTACTTTGTATAAAATAAAGATGTATTTTGTATTTATATATAATAGGAAAAATTGAAAATAATAATCCCAACTATTGCCGGTCCGCTGAAAATAATCCCAACTATTGATTATTTTTGTATAATCCCAACTATATAGACTATCCGCCAATAATGGTCCATGACCATATATTACCTCTATAAAAAGTGAATTTTAAATAGAAATTAAGCGTAAAAATTAAAAGTTGAGATTATTTAGAGGGATTACTTGTTATATCTCACCCCATCCACTTTAGAAACTACAAGAATTTATTCATAGGGACCATTATTGGCGGAAGGTCCCTAAAGTTGGGATTATTCTGTAATAATCAATAGTTGGGATTATTATGAGCGGACCGCCAATAGTTGGGATTATTACTATCAATTTTTTCTATATAATATGTATTACATACCCTCTCTGTGCCACAAAATTCTTCTTATTACCATTTTGGATTGTTCAAAAAAATCTTCTCATTTCGCTTTTTGAAAAGTTTTATGTGACTAACATTCATTTACCCTCTTCTTACTCAACCGCAATCATACAATTCGACTTTATTCTAACTTTCTTAAACCCTGATCCAAATTAAATCGGGAAGAATTTTATGTGATGGATGGAGTGTTTAAGTATATATATATATATATATATATATATATATATATATATATATATATATATATATATATATATATATATATATATATATATATATATATATATATATATATATATATATATATATATATATGTATGTATGTATTACGTATAAGTGTATATATGTGAGTATGTATATTATTTATATATATTTTTATTATTATATGTGGTACATATAACATAGTGTAAATGTACTGTTTTCACATTTGCAGTCTCTGTTGTATCGGTTCTAGGGCCTAAAACCCCATTTATAATTTTGACGTAATAAATTATTAGAGATCTAATCATACACTGTACAAAGTATAATTTATACTTCATAACTAATAACTATTCATTATTTTTGTACATTGTATCTGTAAGCATTGTCATAAAGTAAAGCAAATTAATATTTTAAAATATTAAATTTGACAAAGGACTTTCTTTTCGCTTAATCTATCATTCCATTTGGTGTCCGAATACATTTATGACAAATCAATTTGACACACTTGGTAATTAAACTTTTTCTGAGCAATTTGGCCTTTTCGGTGGGCTATGTTAATTTGTATGCTAATAATATATTTTATATATATAAATTACCAACTTGAGAATTTACATATCTATCACATTTTGGGCGGGAATTTTCCCTCCAATAGTTGTAGCAACTTTGCTACTTTATATTATACTCCATATAAAGATGGGGAAGAGTTCAAATAAAAAGACCTCTTCCCGAGCAAAGTGCGAAGATGTGCACTTTTTCATGTTTAACTTGCACTTTTTCGTGTTTTTGTTGCACTTTTTACGGTGGCGAAAAAGTGAAACATATTTACGAAAGTGTCACCGCGTTTTGGGCCGAATTTTGTGCATTTTGGCTCATTTTGAGCCAATAGATGTGGAAGACTTCTTTGTATTTGAACCATCCCCTATATGTGTGTGTGTAGAACTTAAAATTTTGGTTTGAAATAAATATTAAAAAATCAACTTTATTTTCAAAAAGTTTACAACAACAAAAACAACAAACAACACCATCCAAGATTTAATCCCAAAAGATTTTGGGGTCGGCTAACATGAATCGGTCTATGATATTGATGTCAAAAAGAGAAGACAGAAAAGAAAGGAAAGAAAAGAAAAAACAAATATGATAAAGATTAATAAATACTACGAAGTACATGCATATAAGATAACAATAACATGAGATTATAAGATAAAAAGATAAAAGAGCATAAAGAAGATAGAAGATAAAAATAGCATAAGAACATAAAAAGATAAAGAAGATAAATGATAAAAGAAAATGAGAGAGGAAAGACAGAAAAGAGATCAATCGCTCATCCAAATATGCGCCCTCCACTTTGCTCTCTCCAAATCCATCTCTCATCTCACCCAAGAAGACGCATATCAATTATGATTCCTCTAATCCAAGTTTGTTTGGGTCTTCCCCTCCCTTTCATCTCTGTCTCTTCTCCCCACCCCTCAAGTCGTCTAACTGGTGCATCACTCAGTCTTCTAAGCACATGCTCAAACCACCGCAAAATAGACTCATGCATCTTATATTCTACAGGTGCTACTCCCAACTTTTGTCCGATTATCTCATTCCTCAAGTTTTCTTTTCTGGTATGTCCACACATCCAACACAACATACACATTTCGGCCACACTCATCTTTTGAATATGACATTGTTTCTGTTGGAAAAAAGTGTTAAAATTAGATTAAATGGTCATTTTGGGGCAATATTTTGAGTGGGTTCCACATCCAATTTGGGTCAGATCAAAGTGGTTTCGGATTGTCCTTGTTAAGGGATACAATTTGATATATGGTACGCTCAAAACGGATAACAGGTGAATGAGAA